ACGTTTTCAGACAAGTTGAGTTACCAGGACGTCTGGCCACCTCGCACAGTTGTCATGTCAACCCAGCCACGCGGACGGGCTGCGATACGTATGTCTGTATCACACAATCCAATTTGCCCAGGGAACCTGATGCCGTAGAAAAGGGGAACAATAAGCATTAACTACATAAAAATGATGCTAGAGCCACTACTCTGGCGACTGACTACCAAAGTCTAGTTATGGATAGGCTTCTCCTGTCCGAGTAGGGAACTTTGTGTTCTGCTGTTGTCATGGCAATTTCCTCTTAGCACTTCAATTTATCTCGACACTTAGTGATAGTTTTAATAAGTCCAGATTATACGATTACGGGCAATTTGCAAGGATAGGCGCACATTATGCTTAATTGTATTATTATTATTATTATTATTATTATTATTATGCCTTGTTTTGCAAACAAACTGCACAAATCCATTTTCTAGGGTCAGAGGGAACGGGAAAGTCGTATCATAAAAGCTAGATTTGGGCAGTTTGCGACGCAGTTTGCATTCAAAGGTGATGCAAAACTCTTTTCCCAGACTCATCTATAATCTCGACAACTACCCACGTCGAATATGGTGCTAGTTTAACGTTCAGTTTGACAGTGTGAGTGTGTACTTCTTTAGTTCCTGGGGGGAAGTGCTCAGCCTGCGTCTTTCCTGCTACTAGACACTCCAAGCAACGACACATTAAAAAAGTATAAGATGTGAAGAGAAAGGTGGTTCAACTTTGTTCTTGCAATTTGATCGCGTTGTCAGGACGACCTCGAATAGAGCCTACCCGGTCCGTTGTCTTCTGACAATGCCTAGGGTCGATTTGTGGAGTTGTAATATTTCCCAACTTTCGTCAAGGAGACAAGTGAGGTCCATCCCTTCATCGAGTGACTTTGTGCACTTGTTATTTTGATGCATGCTACACTCAGAAGATGTGATAGAGAGTTCATGAGGCTTGAGTAGCTGAGATGGGTGCAAGTATTGGTACGTGAGGTTGATAAAAGTAGGGATTGACTTCACATTCCGCTTTACACAGTTGAAGTCTGATGCTCAGAGAGGCAGGAATCATTGAAGATACCCGCAACGTGTCCGAGACCCATCAAGTTCACGGTCCGTGGCTAAACATTAGCATGAATGGCATGACAGAAGACGGCAGAATGAAATTATGAAAAAAAGATCAAACAAATTCTACCAAGTCAAAAGGACTATAGAGTCACAACAATCGACAAGTAACTGTAAGTACATGAAAAGATGAAGAACGATTTGGCCGGTTCCTTTTTGTGGCAATTTAGGCTCTTGTCAAGCAAGTTTAGTCCGAGGTGGCTGAGTGTGATGAAGAAGTGAATGTGAATTTTCCCACAATGCAATAGGCAGACGTCAGGATACCCATACATTTCGCTTGGCTTCCCCTTTAAAAAGGTATCCTCAATTCCGACCTTGCCTCAATCTCATTGGTGCACCCGACGGGATTCGAACCTGGGTCATATGCATAGACTGGCAAGCTGTTATCGCGATAGCAGACTGCTTCGACTCCCAAATGGTGACAGGACAGACACGAATTTCAAAGTAAGCCATAGCACATTTTTAAGGTCATTTTGTAGACAAACTTGCATTTATGTAGAAAAACTGGCTTTGGAAAAGGCCCTTAAAAGTGAGTGTTGTAGTAACTCTACTTTCGTATGAAGAGGCTAGTTGGTCTCACCGGTAGTCGAAGAGGGGTTGTCTTGGAGCGGACTGTAGATTTGCGTGAATAACTCTGTGGCGCATCGGTCTGAGACCCCAATGAATCTTTGTTGACCGTCAAAACAGGTCACCACGCTTTACGATACTTCACAAGAACACAAAAACAACAAGTTGCACCTACTTGGTATAGCCCAACTTTTGTAAGCTTAATGCGACATTTCATAATTTGGTTGGATAGCCTCTGCTTTTCCTGTATGCTTATTGAAAATCTGTTAATTAGGTTTGTAAGTTTTCACATAACGTGAGGCCCAGTTATAGGATTGTGGGAAAATGCACTATCATTACCTTATCATCTCAATCGACCCAGGCAGACCAAGATTTTGATCACGACCTATCGAGTCCAAAAACTTACTTACTTACTTTTCGTTTATAAGTAGTCTGTCGAAATTCAGTCTATTTCGTTTAAAGTTGAAATTTTCCAACAATAATTTCCATTAAATTTCATCTAACCTAGCTTTCCAAGAGGTTTTCTCATCCCGACTGGTCTCGACGACAGTTTCGACCTCACCTGAACCGATTTCGTCGGTAGCCGCAGCAAAACTCGAATCCGAGTTGCGGCAATGGAGCGCATATAATCTCACCACGTTCAGCACTACGCCACACTGACACGAATTGCCTTAAGTCACGGGACAGATTGGAGTTCTTCATTAAGTTAAACAAAATTTGGCTGAATAAACCGCATATAAATAATGTACAAGTAGTCTTAACAACTTGCTTATAAACGAAAAATACTTAATGTAGACGATTGCTATAGCAAATACAACTTTGTTCTAGCGAAGATCGCAACATCAAATGGAACATGACAGAAGACCTGACCTTCTTGGAAATTCACATTTGTGCTGCGCCCCAATACCTGTGCGGTGTGAAGAATACACGCTGTACTATTTGCGGTTCGAGTCCCGCTGGAAGTGCTGATGAAACCATATCAGACGAGCTCGAAACTGCATTCCATTGCATTTTTGGTAAGCAAGGTTATATGAAAGTGAATATAAACATAAGGTCTAATCATCAGATTGTGGGAAAATTCAACTACTAGTCTTCGTGATTAGCCTCAATATCACCTTGGATTCCGGTGAGAACGGATTTAATTTTACGCACACACACACACACACACACACAAATAAATGCATATATATGAAATGTATTCAACATATTTTTCTTAAGGTGATAAGGGGCTAGTATGTGCAAAGAGAGACTGGGTTTCAAGAAATTTTTTGGTTTATAATTATTAATTGTTGAGCTTATTTCCATTTCGAGTGAAAGCGGTTGGTGAAGACATTCGAAGGTCGATTCCACCAGAAGACGACGGCCGATTCCTCTTGACCAGCAGTCGATTGGCTTGACTCGAACTTTCATGTTGACGCGTTTCCGAGGTAAACTCCTTCGATGTCCGTAATGCGGCAGACCAAAGCTTAGCACCTTTTCACCGGAATCGAAGGAGTTTACCTCTCGCATGAATGTTCCAGTAAAGCCAATCGACAGCTGGTCAAGAGGAATCGGCCGTCGTCTTCTGGTGGAACCCTTCGGCTCTTCACCGCTTCACTTTCACTCGAAATGGAAGTAAGCTCAACAATTATGAAAAAGTGATTCCTCGAAACCCAACTTTTCTTCTCACGCAATTGATAAGTCAAATTTTATTTTGAATGAAAGTGTTTTTTGTTAAAATATGTTAAGGTTAATCCCACCAGAAGTTGATCGGCTGTCGATTGGCTCTTCTGGAGCACCCTTTTTGATGCTGTTTCCGAGGCGATCTTCTTCGATTTTGGTTAAA